ACGCCAACGCCAACGCAACGCCAAAGTTGTATGTAAACGGGCCTTTAGAGTGACTACCAACCAGACTAGACGTGTGAATTTATTGAAGGACCCAAACTAAGCGTTTTCAGTACGAAAATTAAAAAAAATCAAGATATTTTTCAAACATATTTTGAAAGATTTCTGCAACCTTGCGGAGTGCTGCCAGTTTTTCTTTTTACCACATCACGATGTAGCGAACAAATGTGGCACGTTCCAGAAACCGCTACTTGGGATTTGCCGATTTTGACAATTCTAAATGAAAAATAAAATTCTCAAGTAAAAGTAAACAACGCTTTAGAAACTTTAGATGCACTGAAATTTGCTAATACTTTAACGAAAATCGCCATTTTTTAACATTTTCGCTGTTCCGTTACTTCCATTATAATCCAGGCATTACGCCGACTCCGAACGGCGATTGTATTTTTATGAGAAGCTGTTTTACATAGAAGAAATACACTCGGAGGTTTGCCATTGCCTGCCGAGGGACGACCGCTGTTAAGAAAAAATCTTTTTTTCTATATTTTTTGCGATGTTGCTTTGACTAGGGTTTGAACCCTGGTGCTGCGGAGTGGAATCGCGCACTGTTTACCACTACACCACAGCGGTCGACAAAATATATGTAAGGCGAAGAAATCAGCTGATTTTACAACACCCCCCTTTATAAATTCGCCTTGATTCGAAATAAGCCAGCCCGAATCGGGTAGGGATCACAATGCGATAGTGCGAATCGGTTGGAGACTTTTTGCTCTTTATTTTCTTCGCCTTTCTTTGGTCCGAAAAGAAGCTTCTAGTACTGAAAAAAAAACATCGATGTTTACGTACATCGATGTTTCGATGTTTTTGTAGGAGCAACATCGATGTATCGATGCGTCCGCCTTTTTAAATGCCGAATTTTTTAAATGTTGTCTTAATTCATTAACGCAGATATGCACACAATCAGTCTCTTTAATTTCACAGCCATGCAAATCAAATGAGTTCAATAGTTCAGCCATTTACATATATTGCTGAAATTTTATTAAGTCTTCTAAATTTCAATTTGTCAATTTTTTAAGAATTCACGATTTCAGTAAAATATAATTCGAATTATTGGAATCTACGTTCAAAAACACATTCATATAAATACATATACATAACATGAAAGATTTTCATTGACACAGTCTACAGAGAAGCCTGCGACTTAAAGATTTCAAGTTGTGCCAACTCCAATGACCTAAAGAATTAATTATTTGTATTTAGTACGCTTTATTTATATATTAAAATTATGCTCGTAGATTTTCACTCACCTATGTGATGGTTATAGAGAGAAACATCGAACATCACAAAAAAACATCGATGTTTGAAATGAATTCAAAAACATCGATGTATCGATATTACATCGATGTCTCTTCCAGCACTAGAAGCAACCTTGAGGATAGACACAAAAGGCAGAATAAGGATAAAAAAAAAAACAAAGCAAACCACAGGAAAATTACAAAACAAAAGAATTGATTATTAGTTTATTTATCAACTTTCATACGAGGTGAATAAAGTTACTATGAAAATCGAACTGATAAACAGGACGATAAAAGCAATCAATTCCACTGGCGTAGTAAAATAATAATCAAGATTTTATCTTCGTCTCAGCTCCTTGGTAAAGGCCTAATATAATTTTTGGAATTTATTATGCGATAATACACTATAAGCCAAGAAAAATGGACCCAACTATATCACGCGATAAAATACCCCTAAAGCAGGCTGAGGTTTCAGTTCGACGTTTTAATGATCTTGCTGTTCCACATCACTTAGGGCTTCTAAAAAACCATCGCAGTAATATTGAAAAAAGTGTAGCTCTCGGTGATTGGAACAAGGTTAAGAAGGAAGAAATAAATGCAACACGGGTCATAAAGCAAATAAAAAACTTACTTCTGGAGATGGATGCGTTACGAGACAAAGTACGCCCCGAGGATTTGAAACGATTTGATGCCATGATGGACGAGGGAAAAAATAAAGCTTTCAAAGGAATGAGTGAATATTTGGGTAAGCTTGTTTGAGATGAGTGAAATTTTGGGTTTTATAATTTAAATTTGGGATGGTTTAATTTAATTCTATTTTAAAAGAGCTGCAACTGAAATCACCAACATATAGCAGCCATCCACTCTCGTCGGCAGACAGCGAAGGTGAGGAAACCATTCATGCAATTGAAATAGGTTCAACCATGGCGCATCGGAAAGTAGTTCCCGCGATTGAAACAAATTTTCAGCAGCAAGAGTACCAACTGCAACAAAGACAAGCGTGTTTGGATGAATTAGAAGAGTTACAAAATGAGATACGTGATCTGAATGGAGTGTACCATAACATGCATAGTCTTGTTCAAGAGCAAGGCGAAAGTGTACAGATTATTGCTGACAACGCAGAAGAGGCACTTGAACAAGTACAAATTGGCGAAAGCAACTTGCGTCGGGCGCTTTCATATAAAAAAGCCATGTATCCGGTTGTGGGAGCATTGTTGGGCACATGTGTCGGTGGGCCTATTGGATTGGTAGCCGGTTTGAAGGCAGGAGGCCTTGCAGCTGTAGGATGCGGTATACTCGGCTTTACTGGTGGTTCTGTTCTTAAAAACAACCCATCAGCAAATCCTGCCGTAATGCAAGGTAATATTGAGGAAGAGTGCTCACAAGAGAATATACAATTGGAAAAAACAGACGAATGACCCTCAGGGAGTGGCAATAGTCCGTACAATAGGATAAAGGACACTCGTCAGCTATTGGAAGCAGGCAGCAATACACGATTAGATCCTGTAGCCCAAGCTACGACAGGTGTGATATGTAGCGTACGCAGTTACTGTTCCATACAATGAAGACTTACATTTTTTTTTCTACTCTATTATGTGAGTTTTTTGTTTTTACTTTTAAAATTGATTTAATATTGACTATATATACAATGGCTTAAATAAAAGGTTAGAAATAAAAGTTGCAAGCGATGGATAATTTGGTATACATATCGTCGTTTAAAGTACAAAACCGCGTATGAGCATAATGCAAAACCGCTTATCTGAGGTTGGATAAATTATTTTCTAGAGAGTAAAAATACTCATTTGAAAATGGTTCTCTTTTTTATAAAGCAATTGCATTTCTGGCTAGTATATATCAGGACGAATGGATGAGGATTGAGCCATGAGCTTGTGTGAGCAAATCCAATTACGCAAATGTCAGTTACGCGGTTTTGCAGAATGACGATACTCGGTTTTGTACTTTAAACGACGATATATATGAAGGCCACAAAAGTTCCGCATCTCTTCTCTGGCAATACAGAAAGGAAAGTTCTGCGTAGTAAAAGTTATGATCCCCAAGCGTGACCGAAGGCCGCCAACGCAGAGGGAACTTGCGCACCTCTTCTCTGGCAATACAGAAAGGAGAATTCTGCGCAGCAAGGGTTATGACCGAAGGCTGCCTACGCAGTAAGAAGTGTTGCACAAAAATACTGTGGATAGCGTAGTCGTTGGTCCGACCGGGTCTTTGTTTTACACTGTATAGCACGGATTGAAGACATGATTTTGTATACCAAAATAAAGCTTTTTTATACACTATTGAATTATAAAACTTCATATATATATTTAATAAGGCAATTTTTAAAAAATCATGCGTTTGATTAACATTTTCTGTAACTTTTTTAGTTAAATTGAACTATTGCTCAAAATTTATAAGATGTATATACATTTGTATATCGTATTAAGGCCATAATATTTCCTACTGAATGACATAAAAAATTCTGAAATCCGTCCTTTCGTTTTCGAGATTTTTAGATTTTAAAAAATTTATTAATTTGACCTTTGACCCTTGGTAACTCCTGTAGTTCCCGTTTCTCATCAAAAAATAAATAAAATTATACCGTTATGTTATACCTGCTTCAAAAACCTCTATCGACGCGCTTGTTCAAAATTTGTCGCCCCGGTTATTGTAATCGGGACCTATGTGTGGTTTTGTACTTTAAACGATATGTTTATATGTATGTACATATGTATATACATGCTTACCTGGTAAACTTTAAGAGACTTGGTTGAAATACCAGCGAACCTCTACATGGTGCTTGCGCCATGGAATGTATAAAACGACGCGCCCAATGCTCACAATACGCGATTCCGAAGTCAGCTAACCTATAGAGGACTAACATTGACTACTAAGTCTATGTGCAACGACCCAAGACGTTCAAGAATTAAAAAAAAAAACTGTCCTAATTGCAAGTCTAGTACAAACATCCCTTGGAATGTATTCATTAACAAAATTACGAATTCACAAAAATCCTAACCAACACTTTTTTCGAAACTGCGTTTTATAAAATACACTACACTAAAAATTTTAAAGTGCTAATACCAAAAACAACGCAGTTACATGTCACTTTTTAAAAAGCCCGACTTGTTTTTGATATTATTTTTTATGTTTTTTGCTTCTCCTATAAAATAGAAAATATGTGGGTTACGGCCTTTATACATAGTACATACATTGGGCCGTATGAAAAAACTAAGCAACTGTTTTTTCTTAAAATTTAATACCTTTTACTTAAATTTGTTTGAATAAATCGAGTAAAAGGTTTGAAATGTTAAGAAAAAAAAACAATTGCTTATTAAGGAGAAGGTTATCAATTCGTCAAAATATTTTTTTTTATGTACATATCGACCCCCTTGCGCAAAATTATCGCATATTACATTTTTTTTGAAATTCACTTTTCGATACAACTTCATCACCATCACCTTCTCAAATAATCCCAATAGCTACTTCAAAAATGGACTGTCGATTTTATCGTATGTGACAATGATTTTTTTCTTGTGGGCGAAATTATCATATCCCCGCAAACATATTGGCTGCAAATCTTTATTCATTCTGAACGTTTGGTATAAACTTTTTTATTTACTAATTCTTTAGAACGTTCCTGATGATATGTTAACGTATACATATTTCAAACGCATTCGGTTTATTTTTGCTGTGAGATGGGTTTGTCTGGAATGTATAAAGAAACGCAGCCATTCTGAGCGTTCAGAATATATGAGTCCGAAAGGAATCCTAGGTACATAGGTAAGAAATAAGAGCTTCAAAAACAAAAAGCTTTTTACTCTTATATGCATCTTTTAGGAGTCATATATGATCCAAGTTATGAGCCAGCACTTTGTGCCATATAAAATCAATATAATAGATTCGAAATTTATTTCTAAACTTGTTTATACAGAAATTGAATGTATTGAGAAAACGAAAAATTTAAATAATAACGAAAAATAATAATACAACAAAATTTAGCTGCAGCTGCTGCTATTAATCGCTCGTTGGAATGTACGTTTATATGCACGTAAGTATGTATGTATGTATGCTATTTGAAAGAAATTGTTGCCTGTGCAAATATAGTGCATTCAATAAGACTCAAAGAAACACCTAAGATTCCGAATGTAGTAATTTATGAGGCCGATAAGAGCCTCAAAAGGAGTCTGAAATGATTCATATATGAGGAAAAAATTTGTTTTAAAAGAGTCCAAAATGAGCCGTATTCGAGGCCAATAAGAGTCCAATATGACTCATATTAAGGCTCATTTGATGTATGAATTTAAGCATGATAAAAGCATAGTAAGGTAAAACCTGAATTTAAGCTCATATACATATGTCGACCATCGGAGGAAGGGAAATACCCTCATATCGGACTCTTAAATGAGCGTAAAGGCTCTTAAATAGGACTCCTTAAAACCTCATTTATTACTCCAAATGTTTGCTGGGATGGGCTAAGAAATTAGAAAGTCAAGATCTTTCTACAAAGAAAATCTTGCATTCAGTTATATTTCTCAATTATATCAGCAAATCTAAACTCTGGTATGGATGGTGCTAGCGCCAAAGCAGAGAAAAATACAAAAAACACTTTCCTGTAAAATTTGGTTTTTGTAACATACGATAATTTTGCGCAAAGGGGTCGATATGTTACTGCGTAACCTTGGACCACGTTAACCGATTTATATAATTCTTTTTTTAAAGAAAATGTGTTGCCTCAGAGGTGGTCCTATACTAAATTGGTTCATATGCGATAATTGGATCATGAAGAAATTAACGATAATCTTAAATTTTTTATAAGAGAATTGAAGTCGGTCTTGTTTTCGCTTAAAAATTACTTGTTTTTATTCATACGGCCCATTACCACTTGATTGTTTTGGAAATTATACATATCGACGGTACTTTGGCAAAACCTCGTATCTCAAAGCACTCTTAAAAAACTCTTTCTACGAAAGAACTCCATATTAATAACAGAAAATCAATCGTTTTTACTAACATTTTAACTGAATATTTAAGATTAAATACATTTTAGTTAATTACGAATAACATACAATGAATGTATAGTAGTATTTTAAGGCCTATTTTGAATTAATTTTTACGAGACACGTAGCAGTGACTTCTGACATACGTTGGGCAAATTACCGTCGATATTCTACATACATACATATATTTTTCCAACATAAAGCCTTGAAATTCAAAATATATATATGTGTAGTCGCATATTGAATCATTTCGTTCATCAACATACATACATATGTATGTATAGCGCGGTGCGGAAAATTGAGAGCCATAAAACTAAAGTGGCACATTTGCCGTCGTCCACATCTGCCTGAAACGCTTTTTCATTGCGTGTGCCTTTTTTCGTATGCGTTTTGCTGTTGTTTTCGGTTTATACCAAGGCGGATAGGAACCATGTTGATCCTTCATTGTTTTACTATTGTAGACATGTACCTTTCCAGTTTTTTCATTTATTTCTGTAAAGTTCTGACCTGGCTCCCGACGTTCTTCCATTTCATGCTCCAGTTCTTGTTCTTCACGTGATTTATTTTCCTGTAAAGGACATGTAAACATATCGTGAATATTTTTATTTCCTTTGATAATAATCTCTTTCCACATACTTGTTTCAACTCCTTTGCAGTTTTAACTGTGGCTATGTCAGAAACGTCTTTCAAAATTTCATTACCATCAGCATCAATAATGCCGAGTGTTTTCTTGAGGCGAATGAGCTCTTTTGCCTCATATCGGGCTTTTTTAATTTTATTCATCTCATCCCGTCGTTTGCGGGAGCGATTTAAGCGGCCCATTTCGTAGGTTTGTGGAAAAAGAAACTATTTTAAATAAGGATAAAATAAATGTAAACACGTGTGATATGTTTAGAGATGTTTACGATGAATCGATATCTTTGAAACGTAAAATCGTTTAAAAATTCGAGATCGATTCTTACAATTTCCTATTATCTCTAACTTGACGACTTCATCGATGTCAGTTTCTACTATATTGTGGCGAATACTGCGGCAACACAAAGCGAACAACGAGAAATAGGCA